CCTTGCACGCAATCCACGGCGCAGCAGACGACGACGAATTGACGAAGCCGACAATTGTACACCTGTAGCAGTAGACCAATGTGCTGCCAGCTGCCTGGAGGAAGCTGTGCGATCATTCACCGCCATGCGGAGCAGGTGTCGATCATCGCGCTCTGACGTCACCTTCTGTCGTCCAGTGCCTGTTTTTCGAGTTGTTCGGTGCTCGTCGGTCCACTGCTTCCAAACTCGCATCACTGTGGAACTGTTCCGCTGCATACGAGCTGCTATTGCGCGATAGGAAAATCCTCCTTCTCGAAGGCCGATTATCCTCCCTCGTTCAAACTCCGTAAGTTGCTTGAATTTCTTATTCTTCCGTCGTGGAGGCATACTCAGGTCTCACTAAACGTTTGCCACTAACAAATAATCATAGACTATTTTCAACGTCCCGCTACAGCACTTTATTTATACGCTTTCAGCATCAATTCAGAGGGCACTGCGCGCGCCACGCACGCGCGATGGCTCTGAAACTTTATTAATTTGCATAATATCCTATAATTGACATTTGCTGCGAATTTCATTTGATTCTGATGATTCCTTCATGGTGTTGCATTTTCTACAAACAGCAGTTTATATATATATACGTATATTATATATAAAGAGAGAGATAAAGTCATTGCCGAGTGGAAAGATAAAGAGAGGTCTTAGGCAGGGAAGGAGGGTACAAGATTTATTTATTAGTTATTGGACAGTTTGTCAAAGTGGACACGAAATCGTTGTGCTCTTCAACATAAGTTAGGGAAAATCTTGCAAAGTAAATTCGTAAAATGTTTCATTTTAGAGAATAAGGGACAACTTAGTAATTGCAATTGGTTTATTAAATAGGTCGCGCGATTCCCAGAAAGAGCAGAGGGAAAAATGTCTTACTTTTAATTAATGCATACTTGAACCAAAAATAGATTAAGGGATGGGATGTGAATTTAAAAGTATGAGAAAGCGTTACGTTTTGAACAATAAATTAAGAAAATAATATACAGAAAAGGAATAACATAAAAAGATTAATTGAAGCCTTTTATGTTATATATATATATATATAAAGAAGGTGCTCAAAGATCGCATAACAAAACTGGGTACTGGGTCGAAGATTGATAGACCTCTGGTTCAGGTTAAAATTGCTATCTGGGGATGAACGGATGATGTACACAATGAACCCTAATTGTAAAACGGGCTGTGACGTATGTGTGCGGAAAATGTCGAATTCTTTGTCTAAATTCCTTTGTCCCCAGTGTAGTAAATGATGATTGATGCACGCTAAATCTATCGAGTCTCTAAGTTCTCCATGTTCCCATAACAAATCATACCTCTGTGGGTACTGATCAAGGAGGTTCCTTATCTTCTGGTTTGGTTCAAAATTGCAAGGCTACGGAGTTGAACATTAGAGGTCGTTAACCCGAAATTGGGTCGACTGTTCAACGACGGTTATAAAATTATAAAATATAGAACGGATATACTAGAGCCGTGATATCTCAGGGAAAGGAGCATTCGCCTTCCAATGACGGGAACCGGGTTCGAATCCCAGCTACGGCTGGTCGATGCGTATTCCGCATCCAGCTTGTACCTACCACAGTGCTGATGTAAAATATCCTTAGTGATAGAACTGTCTTCTGGATTGGGTTCAAAGTTACAGGGCTACGGATTTGAACGTTAGTAGTCGTAAACCTAAAAATTGAGTTGGCTGTTCAACGACTTTTATAAAATAAAATAAAATGGGTGTACTGGAGATACTGCACAACACATATGGGAAAAGCCATGTTTGATTTTCACTGCAGTTTCAATTTCGCGACTGATCGGACCTTGAAAAAAAATAACCCTCTTAAACTTCTTGTGAGTGAGTTTCAATGTTTATAATTCATGTATTTTTTTTTCTTTGAAGGCGAAATAGAAAACTTGTTTGTGAAGAACAGCCACATAAATGTGAGTTTTTTAAAACAGAGGAGGAGTTATGCGACGAGTATCCTAACTATTGCAATCTCGACGACGCATATCTTGGAGTAAGTCTCACTCACAGATTTCTTGCTATATATATATATATATTTTATAGTTACTTTTTTTATTAGTTATTTACTTTTAATACCTCTATGAGCATGGGTAATTTCGGTTATAATTTAGAGAGTTAAATTCTTAGTTTTTTTGGTAAAAAAATGTAACGATCTAAAATTAATCCAATTAATTATTAGATTTTACCAAATAACGATGATTATCATAGCTGAGGTAAAATAAAATAAACAAATGGCTATAGATATAAATAATGCTATTTAGTTGATTTCTAAATGCATATGAACTTACAAGGTAGTATTAATATTAGATAAAATGTACAGTAATATAAACAATGCATAATGGTCATTATTTAATTTTTTTAAAATTTTTACCCAAGTGAAATAAAGGTACTCGCTATACTTTTATTTGTAATTTCAATTTGTTCCATGTATAACAACTATTTTTCAACTATTTTTAATCATTGCAATTAATCAACACTGAGGAATC